CTCTGCAAAGCTCCCCAAAATGGCCCGTTTTTCGCAAAAATGCCCCCCCTTTAAAGACATGAATAGCCTTGGGGGGGGGGGGTTTGAGGGAGTTCCCCCAAGGGGGGGAGGCAGCAAAAACAGGCAAAAGACAGCCAATTTCTTGCAAAAACAGGCCTTCTTTTGTCAAAAAAATGCATGCATAGTCTTATGGAGGCTTATAGAGTGCTGCTGGGGGCTGGGGGGCAACATTTCTGCCTTCTCCAGCCCCCAGGAGCTCTCTGAAAGCCTCCATAAGGCTATGCAAGGCCATTTTGGTGAAGGGGCAGAGCTTCAGGAGGCAAAAAATGCTGCATTCAGTGTATAAGACACACCCAGATTTTCAGCCTCTTTTTAGAGGAAAAAAGGTGCGTCTTATATTTTGAAAAATACGGTACATTCTGTGAATTGCAAGTCAAAAGATAAAAATTCTGCTCTGTTGCTGAACTCTTTGATTTGAAAAGTGATCATGTTATATTGTAATGAATGATGATCAGTGTTTCAATTTTCAAAGTATACGAAATTACCAACTCATAAATTATTCCCATTATCATCATGTTTTCTTTTGTGTATCTATAATGTTAATGCTTCTAATGTTCACATGCTGAATATAATCTGTAGGGATGTGTGATTTCTAAAAAAATAAAAACATTTCTCGCTTCCTTTCCCCATCGTCTTCCAGATATTGTCTTCCATTGAACTGCTGCAACATTCTTTACCCAAAATTAACCGAAGTGCTTCAGAGCCTTCTCTGCATCGTGCAACCCATACCCAGGACATAAATTCATGCACATTGACTTCAACAAGGCTACCTGTTTTCTAGGAGATCCACGTGCAGTCTTCACCGTTCTCCCCAATAACAGTTATTTTATAGCAGTTATGTTTTGAAAGCTTCAATCTACAGAATTGAACAGCCAGTGTGGATTCATCTGGGTGCCAATTTTAAGAGTGAGCTGCTATGAATTTCTTCTGTTCTAAGCCTACAGGGACAAAACTCCATGTTGCCTTTTGCTACAGTTTATCTTATGGAAATAGTGCACAGACTGTATAAAAAGAAGTTCTATTGCTATTTTTTATAGATGCACTTGAGCCTTATTTTTTTCCCATATGCAAAAAAAAAAAAGGACAAAGGAAAAAAAGTATTACTTTTCTGGTTTCAACTCTTGCATTCTGCTGAACAAACTGTTATATTTTTTTTGTATAGCAACAGCATTTGAGAAAAGGCAATGCAACTGGTGCTGTTTTTCTTACACCTTAAGAACATTCTGGATTGGAGAAATCATAACTAAAATACCAATTAGTAAAGATGACCTAAGGGAAGAGGGAAATGCAACTTCATGGAAGTGTTCCCAACCGAGCATTTGTCCTAATCACTTAATATTGGTGATTAAAGTTTCATCACTACAAATAATTTTGCACATAGTAAAAAATCATTTTAAGATGAGATGTATATTATAACTAGTACTCCTCCTCTGAAGCTGGCACAATCTTGCCACAATCTTCGTAAGTTAACATAAGAAACTTATTGGGTACTTCAGGCTTGCTTTTTGCAGCACCTGGAGGATTCAGTAAGACATGATAGTTTTGTGGGAGGAGAAAGAAATAAGTAATGTCAGTATGTTTCTGCAAACAGTCATTCTACTGTTTGGAACAAAACCATTTTTTTTTCTGAGATGCACTATAAAGAAATTTGGCATATACAGGATTTTTCCTTGCTGATTTGGGTTTTAATTTGTTTTTATTGCTCCTGAGACGACAGAACATTTATTGTAAACCCAGGTTCTTCTGATTATCTTATTTTAATAAATAAATTAAATGTAAATTTGTCATTGATTTTTTTTCTGGCTGCTTCACACACGCCAAGTTTTGGTCTCCCAGTATGTGTATGTATGTGTTTAAATATCCATTCAAATCCCTAAAGTCTACTTTATCAAGTACTTTTAAAGGAAGGGAATAAAAAATACTGAAGCAATTTTTTCAAAAATGCTATTTCGTTTAAAAAAACCATCATTGTATTTACAGCTTTTCACTGTGTATTGTCCCACAGATAACTGACATACTTTGCTGGGTTCAGACTTGCACTTTACCGAATTCCATGAATGTGGGAAGGAGGGAGGAGTGATTTGCTCATTTCTTCTGTAGGCTTCTGTGATTTTCTGCACAAGAAGAAAATGCCTTTCTGGTAGCCAGATGTAACTGGGTCTAGCCATTTCATACTCTAAAAATTGCCCATTGTACTTCCAAAATCTCTCTCTCGTTAAATTGTTGGATTACTGAAGCAGAAGGTTGAGCCATTCAATATATATGTTAATACTATATGTATTTTATATTAATTCCCTTTGAACTGCGTTGTACATTTCCAATTAATTTATCTCACAGAAGATAACATTTTATGCGGCTTGCCAGTTCATTATTTCCAAATCTGGATACACTTCAGATGTATGGATTTCAAAGAATTTTCTGCACATTCTCTGATGCATTACTGAGCATTCGGAGTTAAAATCCACTCATCCTCAGGATGCTGCAAAGAAATTAGAATTAAAATTGGCAGACTAGGAGTTTGGGTGTGGTAGGTTATGTGTTTGATTTTTCAGGCAGAGAATGCATAGGTCAGGGGTCAGCAACCTGTGGCTCTGGAGTCACATGTGACTCCTTCATCCCTCTGCTGTGGCTTCCTGAAGCCAGTCGATCCCAAAATTGATAGGGCTTTAGGTTAAGACAGGTAGAGGAAAAAGGATGCTGCAGTAGGAGACTCTATGGTAGGGTAACTGGACTTCTGGTTGGCTCCAGAATTGAACGTAGGTTCAAGGTTAGGACCTTTGTGGCTCTTTTGAGTGTTTAAGGTTGCCGATCCCTGGCATGTACTCTACTACCATGCCCACAAGTCATAATGTTGCTGCAATTGTGCAAATATAAGAATTATATATATATTATATGCAAAAATCTGTTGAGCTAGGTTGCCAGGCTGTTCAATACATCTGTGCATTCCCTGCATGTTCTTTTGTCTTGTTACCATGTTACTTTAATCCAGTTCACAAACACCAGCCATTTTCGTAACCAGTGGCACACGTCTGCAAGTAAAACATTAGCGAAAACAGTTTGGGTGCTTTTGGGTGCTTTAAGATTTGTGCCAGGGTCTTATCAATACTGACATAGAAATTGGCTGACACTATTTAAAACACGCAACTACAAAACATTAAGATTCCATAGGGGAAATATGCTGTTTGAAACAAATGTTGAAAAGATGAGTGCCTATCATCCAGTATTTCTCAATTACGGCAATTTCAAGGCCAGAATTCCCCAACCAGCAGGCTGTACTGCGGTAATATTTTGAATGACATAGTGTCAGTTCTCAAAGTATGGTCCGAAGACACCTGGGGGTCCCTGGGGCCCTTTTAGGGGTTCTGTGGAGTCAAAATATTTTAACATTTCTCAGTTTTAATTTCTAATAGAATACATATTGATACTGTACATGTCCTCAATCATTTTTAAGAATATAAACAAGAAATATTGGGAGAACCAATAAATGAAAGTGTCTGCATATTGCTTGTTGAGGAGGCAATATGCTTTTTCAATAAGAGATTCTAATCGGAACAATTTTTTCAACTAATGTCAGCAGGAAACTCTTAAGTTTCCTGTGACTGGAACTCCCATCAGATTTTGAGTATTGGAGCCTCTTAGTAATTAACTATAAGATTCTGAGCTCTGAATTGTTGGAACATTGCCAACTTGAAAAAAAAATCAAGAGATTAATATGAATTTTCCATCTTATCCATAATTAAAAAATAAATCTGACAATAATCCAATACAAAGATACACTAGATGTAAAAATACTCTATAAAGTAAGAGAGGAAAACTGTTGAAAGAGCCAGTATATTCTTTGTTTTATGCATCTATGCAGATTACAGAATATTAATGTAGTTATAGCCAAACACAATTAAAAATAAACATTTTCATTTCAAAACTGTGTGCATAGGCTAATAATCATGCTATTAGTAGTAGTTTGGAAACTCAAAATCTGATTTAAGAATTTGTAGTTACCATAGTAGGATACTTATTTATCTTTCTTTGAATTTTTATTGACTCAGGTTTAAAATTATTGCCCTCTGAAGCTTTCAAGACGTCAAGCACGCACCATCAATCAAAAGAACACTATTTTCCAGTGTTAGGAAAGTAACCTGAATTCAAACCTATGTTCTATTTAAATAAAACTATTTACTACTAACCTGGCTATTTAAATATATGTGGAAAATTAATTTCTTCTTCAAATGAATTAAATTTGATGCATGGTCTTCCATTTTGCCTAATTTATCAATAAAGTAAAATATAGACAGGACTATAAGTTTTCATACAAGCAACTTAGATTATTCCTTCTGATCTACTATGGATGCTGGGAGTTCTTGAAAAGGAATGTAACTGGCTAACTATAAACAAGTTTATCTATCTCGTAGATATTCTGAAAAATATACAGTATATTCTTCTGAAGTGTATCTATGATACACTATTTTTAAAGGTATAAATAACCTTTGGCTCAGGATTTTTAGGTTTGGGTGATTTCAAACAGACGCTTTAAGTCACGGGTGTCAAACTCATGACATCATGTGATGTGACGTAGTGATTTTTTCCCCCCTTGGCTAAACGGGGGTGGGGGGGCATGGCCAGTACGTGATATATCTGGCCTGCAGGCCGCAAGTTTCACATCTCTGCCTTAAGTCCTCATGAGGTTTAAAGAGTGCTTTTTACAAATTTTGCCAAAACCCAACAAAAATGTGGTTGAAGGTTCTGCTTATTCTGCAAAAGGTATGCTGGCAAATCGCATATCAATTTTTTGCATTCTTTTTGCAATTCTTCAATAACATTTCAAATTCTCAATCTGTATTAAAAAAGCTGCACATGTGCATTAGCATTTGAAGGACCACAAACCTGGAACAAGGTTTAATAAATTATCTAATAATAAATTTACAGCAATAACAGATACAGTCTTCAAAATAAGTGCCAAGCTTAGGATGGATCAGAAAATGACACTATTAACCATTGACAAAGAAGCAATTCAGTCTGCTTGGACATTTGTCTACAACCTCTATAGCCCCACGGGTAGCTAATTTTAGACACTGAGTTTTAACATGTGGCTAATTATTAAAGATGCCACCAAAGACTTGTATGAGACGGAATATCTGGTTTAGGTACCGAAAATGATGCTGTTTTGGAACTATGCTGTTGGAGAATAAACTATGACCATACTTGTTTTTTCTCACCTGATACCTAAGTGCCAAACCAGCTGATTGAATTAAATGCATTTTTAAAATGTCAACTAAAGCAGGTGCTGACCACACGGTGTATGTTCACATCATTGGGCATTTATAAATTCTTGTAAATATAAACACAGCCATTGACTGCGAGAATGAACTCATAATATATTCGCAAAATTCCAAACATACTCCTGGTAGTATACACCATCTACTTCTATATTAGACAAACAAGCCAGACAGGATACTCTGATTCTTTATAGTACTTACACCACAAAGAGGCCTATATGATTATTTCCCCATATACTTTCCCACTATCTACACAATCTCATTTGTGAGGATTTAGAATGATATTTCAGCAGCACTTGTGATAGCGCTTTATAACACGGGTGTCAAACTTGCTGCATCATGTTGCCATCACATGATGTTCTGTGATGTTTTTCCCATTTGTGGAACTGGGGTGGATATGGCCTGCACATGACGTGTTTTACACCCCTGCTTTACAACATGGTGAGGTATTGAATCACTGTTTTCAGTAACACAGTAATGGCCTAAAAGGTTAATAGTTGTCTCAGCAACTTTAGACAATCTCAAAATTTAAGCAGAGTCGTGATGGGAAGCTATCTGGGAATTCTAGGCTTGTATGTTAAAGTGAGGGATCCCCCCCCCCCAAAAAAAAACAATAAATACTCTTATAATGCCTACCAAGTAAAGTACGTTTCCTGCAGTTACTAGGAATACGGGCATTGTTTTTAAAAATATATTAAAGTTCAGTTAATAGCAAGCAGGATGGGACAGTTAACATGTGGCTTGTTTATTCTGACAGGGACTGCAATTTCCATACAAAGCATATTTAAAATCCAGAAAGGTAAAATGGTCTCTATTCCATTGAACTTCTACCACTTTCACCCACTACTAGTTGGATTGACCCGAGTCATGATTTTCCATTACCTGCTATCCTCCTATATAGTATGGTATCATTGTTTTGAAGGCTGAACACTATTAATTGCTTCCACTAAATGGGACTAGGATGAGAGAACATCTTAAAACAATTGAACTGGAGAGTTTTGCAATACTTTGGATGTCAAGGCAAACATGTACAGCATCCAGAAAAAGACGTAGCTGCTTTAAAGAGCTGTAGAAAGGGGCTCCATGAGCAAGCATGCTGCTCTGAAGCATCTTTTTGCCTCCAAATTTGAAATGCAGAATGGCCCTACTTTTCAGGCAATGTTCAGACAGTGCTACTTTTTAAAAAGTTACAGAGCACCAGTATTTTGGCAATGCCTATTATGTCCATGAGAGCCAATTTGGTGTAGTGGTTAAAACATCAGGCTAGAAAGCAGGAACTTGTCCGTTCTTGTCCTGCCTTAGGTATAAAACCAGCTGAGAGACCTTGGGCCAGTCACTTTCTCTCAGCCCTAGGAAGGGAAATCCTTCCCAACCTGCAGGAACTTGTTCAGTCTCCAAAAACACAATCAAATAGAAGAGGGAAAAATACCAATATATGGATTTAACAGATTTCAGTTCAATATTTGAACATGCATATTGGAACTAAAACAAGTATTTCTGAAAATCCAACCGCCACTTACTTGGAGCTAACTAACAAAGGAATTCTCTACCTATATACTTGGTTACTGCTTCCAAGAAAGTCATGTAACTAACATGGAATATTTTGACTGTACTTTCATTCTTAGATATCTCATTCCTACTAATAATCTTAAATGTGGCTACTTATAGTTGCATTAAAATGGAAAAATGGGTACAACTTAAGCCAGAACTGTAGTATAGCTAGTGTGGAAAATGTTTAAATAACCATGCTGCTTATAAAATACATTAACAATGCTCATGCCCATTTTTTAAAAAAAGATCTCATATTTATTTTAAAAAAATTGGCCATGTGCAGTGTTACAAACCCTTAGAGCAGTGGGTCTCAACCTTCCTAATGCCGCGACCCTTTAATACAGTTCCTCAAGTTGTGGTGACCCCCCCAACCATAAAATTATTTTATGTTTTCTGTATTTTTTTGAAAATATGTGTTTTCCAATGGTC